AAAAACACCTAAAAAGAAAAGGTAAAATTAAATCACTTTACAGATTTCCCGTGATTGTAGCCGTAATATGCTAAGTACCATTTAACAAACTTTTTCAACCCGGTGTGCAAATCGGTTCCGGGCTTGTAGCCCAATTCCTTTCGGGCCGAGCTGATGTTGGCGTGGGTGAACGGCACGTCGCCATTGCCGGGCATCTCTAGCAAGTGCTTCTTCGCCTTCACCTTCAGATGCTTCTCCAAAATCCCCACCATCATCGGCACCGTCACCGGCGACGTGTTGCCCAGGTTGAAGATCCGGTACTGTGCGGGCCCCCGCTTCTTCCCGCCGGAGCCCGTGCTCCTCTTAGCCGTGTCCAGCGATCCGACGCAACCCTTCACGATGTCGTCGATGTAAGTGAAGTCCCGGGCCAGGTCGACCCGGTTCTTGCCTCGGTAGACCGTGATGGGCTTCCCCTGGAGGATGTTGCGGGTGAAGGAGAAGTAGGCCATGTCCGGCCGGCCCCACGGCCCGTACACCGTGAAGAACCTCAGCCCGGTGATGGAGAGCCCGTAGATGTGATTGTACGTGTGGGTGATTTCCTCGCCGGCCTTTTTCGTCGCGGCGTAGAGGGAGGCGGGCTGGTCGGTCCGGTCCGATTCGGAGAAGGGGACCTTCTCGTTGAGCCCGTAGACAGAGCTGGAGCTCGCCCACACGACGGCGGGCTGCGGGTCAGCGTTCTTGCACGCCTCGAGTAGCGTGACTAGGCCGGCGATGTTGCTGTGCACGTACGAGTGGGGGTTCTCCATGGCGTACCGCACGCCGGCCTGCGCGGCGAGGTGCATCACGTGCGTGAAGGCCACGACATCGAAGAGCTTGGCCAGGAGGCGCGCGTCGTTGATGTCCCCTTCCACGACGAACACACCCTGCGCGTCGAGGAGACCGCGGCGGGCGCGCTTCAGGGACGGGTCGTAGTAGCTGTTGAAGTTGTCTAGGCCAACGACGCCGTCGCCGCGCCTCCGAAGGGCGAGGGAGACGTGCGTGCCGACGAAGCCGGCGGCGCCGGTGACGAGGACGGATATGCCACCGTGGCGGCGGATCTGAGCGGAGGAGCGGACCTGGCGCTCCCAGTGACCGCCGCCCCATGTGGCGGAGAAATAGCGGCCGCCGGTGTCGACGAAGGAGCGGAAGCTGAGGTAGGCGGCGGTGAGAGCGACGAGGAAGAGGGCCCAGAGGAACAAGGTGCTGGTGGAGGCGAAGCAGCGGTGGAACTGTCGGTGCATCGAGTGGGAACGGTCCTTGAACTTCCCAGGAGTGGAAGGGAGGAAGAGCTCCTGCTCCGCCATGGACGGCATTCTCCTCTCTGTGCTTTTTAATTGGTCAAATTCAGATTGGGAATTGGGGGAAATTGAAAGCAAAATTAGGGCGGCGCAGATTTAGGGGAAATCTGAAATAAAAAATAAAAACAGATGCAGATTTGAAATTATTTTGGAGAGCATCTGCTAAGAAGAAAGGGGGGTATGGCGAGGAAAATATATAGTGGGAGGCCACAAAGAAGAAAGACGCGTGAACGCGTTTAGAGGACAGATATGCCAGGTTGGATATTTTGAAAAATATAATAAAATTAAAAAAGGAGAAAAAAAAAAAAGGTAAATCGGCATATGACGATTTTTACCATTTTAATGGGTTAAAAAAAATAACAAGTGAGGAAATAAATGGACAGCACAGCAGTGAAATTATGTGAATGGAGAAAGTTGGATTTTGGTTTGCTTTGTACAGTAAAGTAATACTACTGTTGTAGTTATATGCAAATTTTTTCAACCGGTTGGTCTTGTATTAGCCAAACCTAATATTAGGCTAGTGCATTTTTTTCCCATAAATATGCATAAATTTATTAAAAAAACTATCACTTTAAAAAAATAAAATAATAGAAGTATGTCATTTGATAATTTATATATTTGTATTTGTTCACTTAGTATGACGTATCGACTTGTCTAACGATTAAACTGTCTCATGCCAGAATGGGTATTTTTCAATATATCATACTTTAAAATTCTATAGAAGAAAAAACATGACATTTCTTTGCATAAATATGTATTTTTATAAATTTTTTAATTGAATAATGAAATATCGTACTTAAAGAAAGGTAAAAAAAGTTTTATATATTAAAATATTAAGTAATATTTTTGCTAATAAAGTGTGATAAAAAAAAAGTTTAATGATTAGAATTTATGTTTATTTTTTTCTTTATTTTAATTTGTAGTAATTTTTATTATTTTTGATAATGTTTTGGAATATGGGAATTTGATAGAGTAAATTTGGTTGTAATATAGGTACGGTTTTCTGTTGTCAGTGCAAATACGGTCTTATCATCTGTTTCGGAGTAAGTGGAAAATAGCGCACATCCACGCGCCGATGTTTGAGTTTGAATTTTCAGTTATTTACTAGTACAGAGCCCGTGCGATGCACGGGGTGCACAATTTTAAAGTCATTTATTCATTCTTATAATTATATAAATGAATAAAAAAAATGAACATGATATATATAGTACGTGACCTGTAATAGGCCAAAATTTGAACACGGGTGATGCACGGGGTGCACAATTTTAAGGTCATTCATTAGTATAGAGCCCGTGAGATACACGGGGTGCACAATTTTCTAGTATGTGTAATAAAAATACATACCGTATGCACGGGACAGAAGCACTAAATGAGTCATTTCCACAGAGCTTGCCCGTTAAGTAGCTCCTAAACACGGGTGCACAATTTGTAGTACGTACCATAAAATCAGAACAAATTTCCATACAATTAGATAATAAATTAGATAATAAATAAAGCCTTTTTATTTTAGTAAAGATTTTACATACTTTATTTTTTTACTTATCGGATGTTATGGTGTTTTTTTTGTTAAACCGATTTTGTGAAATATAATACAAATACAATTAGAGGATTGAACAAAATCAAAACAGATTTTCATACAATTAGATAATAAAAAGGAATTACATAAGGAAAAGAATGAATTAGATAAGAAAAAAGAAGGAATTAGATAAGGAATTTTGAATCTGAGTTTTTTTTTTTTTTGGATAGATAGACTTTACGTACAAATTTTGACTTCACTGATTTTACGGG